CAGCATGACACTGCATCGTTTTAAATAGGGACAACATGACACTGCATCGTTTTGATAGGGACAGCATGACACTGCATCGTTTTGATAGGGACAGCATGACACTGCATAGTTTTATTAGGGACAGCATGACACTGCATAGTTTTGATTGGGACAGCATGACACTGCATTGTTTTATTAGGGACAGCATGACACTGCATTGTTTTATTAGGGACAGCATGACACTGCATAGTTTTATTAGGGACAGCATGACACTGCATAGTTTTGATTGGGACAGCATGACACTGCATTGTTTTATTAGGGACAGCATGACACTGCATTGTTTTATTAGGGACAGCATGACACTGCATTGTTTTATTAGGGACAGCATGACACTGCATAGTTTTATTAGGGACAGCATGACACTGCATAGTTTTATTAGGGACAGCATGACACTGCATTGTTTTATTTGGGACAGCATGACACTGCATTGTTTTATTAGGGACAGCATGACACTGCATTGTTTTATAAGGGACAGCATGACACTGCATTGTTTTATTAGGGACAGCATGACACTGCATAGTTTTGATTGGGACAGCATGACACTGCATTGTTTTATTAGGGACAGCATGACACTGCATAGTTTTATTAGGGACAGCATGACACTGCATAGTTTTGATTGGGACAGCATGACACTGCATTGTTTTATTAGGGACAGCATGACACTGCATTGTTTTATTAGGGACAGCATGACACTGCATAGTTTTATTAGGGACAGCATGACACTGCATAGTTTTATTAGGGACAGCATGACACTGCATAGTTTTATTAGGGACAGCATGACACTGCATTGTTTTATTTGGGACAGCATGACACTGCATTGTTTTATTAGGGACAGCATGACACTGCATTGTTTTATTAGGGACAGCATGACACTGCATTGTTTTATTAGGGACAGCATGACACTGCATTGTTTTATTAGGGACAGCATGACACTGCATAGTTTTGATTGGGACAGCATGACACTGCATAGTTTTATTAGGGACAGCATGACACTGCATTGTTTTATTAGGGACAGCATGACACTGCATAGTTTTGATTGGGACAGCATGACACTGCATTGTTTTATTAGGGACAACATGACACTGCATCGTTTTGATAGGGACAGCATGACACTGCATAGTTTTATTAGGGACAGCATGACACTGCATTGTTTTATAAAGGACAGCATGACACTGCATAGTTTTATTAGGGACAGCATGACACTGCATCGTTTTAAATAGGGACAACATGACACTGCATTGTTTTGATAGGGACAGCATGACACTGCATCGTTTTGATAGGGACAGCATGACACTGCATAGTTTTATTAGGGACAGCATGACACCGCATAGTTTTATTAGGGACAGCATGACACTGCATAGTTTTATTAGGGACAGCATGACACTGCATTGTTTTATTAGGGACAGCATGACACTGCATTGTTTTATTAGGGACAGCATGACACTGCATAGTTTTATTAGGGACAGCATGACACTGCATAGTTTTATTAGGGACAGCATGACACTGCATAGTTTTATTAGGGACAGCATGACACTGCATAGTTTTATTAGGGACAGCATGACACTGCATTGTTTTATTTGGGACAGCATGACACTGCATTGTTTTATTAGGGACAGCATGACACTGCATTGTTTTATTAGGGACAGCATGACACTGCATTGTTTTATTAGGGACAGCATGACACTGCATTGTTTTATTAGGGACAGCATGACACTGCATTGTTTTATTAGGGACAGCATGACACTGCATTGTTTTATTAGGGACAGCATGACACTGCATTGTTTTATTAGGGACAGCATGACACTGCATTGTTTTATTAGGGACAGCATGACACTGCATTGTTTTGATTAGGGACAGCATGACACTGCATAGTTTTATTAGGGACAGCATGACACTGCATAGTTTTATTAGGGACAGCATGACACTGCATTGTTTTATTAGGGACAGCATGACACTGCATAGTTTTATTAGGGACAGCATGACACTGAATAGTTTTGATTGGGACAGCATGACACTGCATAGTTTTATTAGGGACAGCATGACACTGCATCATATTAAATAGGGTGACAGTGAGGCGGGTGGAGAGTCTTTTTCTTCTTATCGACTGACTGTCGTATCTCTTTCTCTCTCATTCAAATTGGTTTTGTGTAATGAAAATGTCTCATTAAAATGTTAGACAAGAGCCTCAGTCTCGATAGTAAATGCAAATTGAACAGTCCCCCCTAGGTTCTAGAAATTGTATTCATTTAAATAAATAGCAACACTTGCGCTGTGCTGGATGCCTCTTTATAGTCTGAGCACCCAATGCCCCTCCGTGGGAAAAGTAATGCCCTTATTGGGCAGCAATAACTGCCATCAAATATTTTCTGTAGTAGTATTTATCTTTCACTGTGCTGTTGCGGATTGTTTGCCCACCAGCCTACTTCATGTAAAACGGCTTTCACCTTTTTTGGACAAGCTGACAACATGTATATCAATTTAAAGATTATTTTGACACGTTTTGGAGAAAAAATATGTCTTGTTTTTTTGCCACAGTTACAGGTTTGGTTTCTGTTTTATGTTGAGTCTGGTTCAGTGCACATAACCACAATCATGGGGAAGACTGTTGAATTTACAGTCATCCAGAAGACACTCATTGATGCCCTCCACGAGGAGGTTAAGCCACAGAAGGTCATTGCTGAAGGGGCTGGCTGTTCACAGGGTGCTGTATCAAAGCATGTTTATGGAAACTTGAATGGAAGGGAAAAGTTTGTTTTGTAACAGTTGCACAATCAACAGGGATGACCGCAGCCTTGGGAGGATTGTCAAGCTAAGCTTAATCTATAACTTGGGGGAGCTTCACAAGGTGGGACTGAGGCTGGAGTTCCTATTGTCAAGTCACTCCTGATCCAGAGACAACTTCTGAAGGAAAAGAGAACTGGATCGTTGCTCAATGTTCCAAAATACTCTTCAGAAGTACATTTTGCATTTCATTTGAAAATCCAGGTCCCAAAGTCTGGAAGAAGAGTGGAGCGGCACAGAATCCAAGTTGCTGATGTCCAGTGTAAAACTTCCGCAGCAAGTGATGATTTTGTGTGCCATGTCATCCGCTGGTGTTGCTCCACTGTATTTTGTGTTGCTCCACTGTATTTTGAGTCCAGAGCCAAATAAGCAGTCTACTATGAGCACTTTATGCTTCTATCATCTGACAAGCATTTTGGAGATGCTGGTTTCCTTTTCCAGCAGGACCAGCACCGGCCCATAGTGCCAAACCAACTGGTAACTGGTATGCTGCCCATTGTATTACTGGCCACCCTTGGTAGCTCCATCATGGTGAAAGATGTTATAGTTCGGGATTGTTATTTCTGAGTTATTGACAGACTTCCTAAGCCAGGTTTCAGACACGGTAATAGTAAATAAGTCGAGTTTAGGGAGTCGACTTCTAATGTTAATGTGCATAAATCCAAGACATTTACAATCGCAGAAGTTAGTTAAAAGAGGTCGCTTGTGGGTGGCACTAGGGATTTCATGGCCATGGTTGGGTTCTACATCTCCAGATGAGCAGAGGAGGAGGAGGATAAGTGTGTGACACATGACTTTAAGAGCGTAGTTTGGAGTGGTGTGTTGAGTTGTATAAAGAAATGGCCGCCTGGACGTAGCAAACTCAATTCATGGCCGTATGGGCAGCCAGCGATATAACAGTATGGGTGTTCAACAGAGGTATACCTAGAAGTACGGGGTGCTAGCTAACACTTATCTTTGCCCTTTCTGAGCATAAATCTCACTTTACAGGGAGTCCAGGTGCTGCTTTAGGCTCCCCTTGTACGTGGATAAAGGCACCAGATCTTTGCCAAACTGCAATTACTTGATTGTAGGGTGAGGCTTGTTGCTTACACCTTTCTGGTGGGCGGGCAAGTTCATTGATATTAATGTTGAAGAATTTGGTTAAGCAGCATGCAGTCTCAATCATTTTGTGAGGATGTGGAAAAATGCTAATACAGATCTCCAGACTTGGACAAGAATAGTGCTATGCTAAAAGGCTAGCAATTTGATACAATGCTAGAGAAACTACACTAAAGCATGTATTTCTGTCATACTTAGTCCATCAACTCTGTGAAACACTTTCAGCATTTTATGATGCACTTATGATGCAGCCATAATTTGTCACTGTCATGTTTAGCAATTCCGCTGTCCCATTATTATGGCAGATATGTTTTATTATTTATTCTTTTTACATAAGGCTTCTTTAGTTATTTACTTAATTACTTACTGATTTGAATAAAAGGAAAAAACTGTTTTTTTTTTGGCGTACACAAAACTTCGCACCAATTACATCTCCCAGGATTACTTTGCGTTTAGTTTGTTTAAATTGCAATTTGGGTTTTTCTGTCTTTATATATATTTCAGAAATTCGGCAACATTCCTAAACTCTCATGCTACGTTCACAAGTGCCTGCTCGCTGAAATTGCAAACCATTTCCGGCGAGCTGTCACTGAGCTTTCGTTAGCATGCACACTTCACGCTTGGGGTGAGGTGTGTCTTCCTAGACATCAGTCACCGCAATTATTAATAAGTCATTACTTTTTGTGTGACTCCACCACAAAAAATGTGTTTCTCATCAACGTAATGCCAACTCAATGATTTATTTATTGTTCCCAACTATCTCTGAAACATTCTTCCATGCATCCATTTTTTAAGATAAATGTCTGTTTAGACGCAACATAAATAATGGCGACACCACCATAATAAGTTTCTAGTCCATGGTTTAATCTAGCGAGCGAGTGTTACGCAAACAAGCCGAAAAGACACTTAAAGATCCGGCGAACATTTGGAAATTGATGGGAGCAAGCTGGCTCTTGTTGGAAATGGATGGGAGAGTGCCTCTGTAGGGCAGGGGTGGCCAACCAGTCAGAGACTAAGAGCCACATTGTTTACTGTGTTACCGCAAAGAGCCACATTGTACACATGGGCAAAAAAAAAAGAATCTGGTCGGGGGAATTGAACCAGGGTCTTCTGGCTCCGCAGCCGAGTGCGCTAACCACTACACCAAACAGGGGAGGAGTGGCGAGCAGCAGCTATTTGTTCGTCGTTATATTTCCGTTCGTTGTTACGTGTTGGGGTTAAATGGTATTTAAAATAAACACCACAAAGGTTTTTGACTGCGCTACACCACGTGTTTGTGACACATGCATGTTTGACGAAAATTCCACGCGAAGCGAACACTTCTATATGAACGTATGAGCCGCATGAAACCGGACAAAGAGCCACATGCCGCTCGCGAGCCGCGGTTTGGCCACCCCTGAACTAGGGTTTCTGTCTACCGTTCTCCCTCATTCTTACGCCTTCTCTTTCTCAGACACTTTTTCTTTCTTTCTCTTTAACTTGTTTCTAGCACTCACTCACTTTGTTGCGCGGCCTCTTTCTTTTCCCGCCCTCTTTTTCTCTCTCACACTCTCTCTCTTTCTCTCTCTCTCTCACTCACACTCTCTCTCTCTCTCTCTCTCTCACTCTCTCTCTTACTCTCTCTCTCTCTCTCTCTCACACACACTCTCTCTCTCTCTCACTCTCTCTCACTCTCTCACTCACACACACACACACACTTTCCTGCTATAAATTATAATATATCCAGTTGTAGAGAATAAGAGCAAGCAAGAGATCAAGGAAAGGGAGAAGTGCAAAGGAAACAGGAAACAGGGAAAACCAGGTGGAAGTGAAGCAAAGGAGGGATAGAGGGGTAACCTGCACAGATAAAGTGTTTCCGCCTCACCTAGATAGTGGAGGGATAGAGGGGTAACCTGCACAGATAAAGTGTTTCCCCCTCACCTAGATAGTGGAGGGATAGAGGGGTAACCTGCACAGATAAAGTGTTTCCGCCTCACCTAGATAGTGGAGGGATAGAGGGGTAACCTGCACAGATAAAGTGTTTCCCCCTCACCTAGATAGTGGAGGGATAGAGGGGTAACCTGCACAGATAAAGTGTTTCCGCCTCACCTAGATAGTGGAGGGATAGAGGGGTAACCTGCACAGATAAAGTGTTTCCCCCTCACCTAGATAGTGGAGGGATAGAGGGGTAACCTGCACAGATAAAGTGTTTCCCCCTCACCTAGATAGTGGAGGGATAGAGGGGTAACCTGCACAGATAAAGTGTTTCCGCCTCACCTAGATAGTGGAGGGATAGAGGGGTAACCTGCACAGATAAAGTGTTTCCCCCTCACCTAGATAGTGGAGGGATAGAGGGGTAACCTGCACAGATAAAGTGTTTCCGCCTCACCTAGATAGTGGAGGGATAGAGGGGTAACCTGCACAGATAAAGTGTTTCCGCCTCACCTAGATAGTGGAGGGATAGAGGGGTAACCTGCACAGATAAAGTGTTTCCGCCTCACCTAGATAGTGGAGGGATAGAGGGGTAACCTGCACAGATAAAGTGTTTCCCCCTCACCTAGATAGTGGTTGGCACTCATCCAGTTTGCAGCTCTAGTCTGGTTACCAGCAACCACATACCTGAGTGACTTTAGGGAGAAACCAGTTCAAACACATCCCAGGTCTGCTTTGCCATAGGGCCTCATCACCATCATCACCCACCACTTCTCTTATAAAGGAGGAAGTGATGGTTGCCAATGGCTACAAAAGGAAGTTCTGGTTAGACAGAGACAGGTTAAGGTGTGTACACATGCCTGTGGGAGATCCTGGGTAAGACACATCTGGGCATCTGAATAATAGTAAATGCATTATTATCGGGGTAGGGTTAAGGGTTAAGGGTTAGTGTTTGGGGTCTGGTCCACACAAGTATCTGACATTTGTGTGTGTATGTTTTGTGCTAGCTGGATAGTTTCTCCCAAGAGAATAAAGTGTCAAAGGCTTAACCTATCAGTTTCCCTGCTGACGTCTTGTGACATTTAGATAGCACTGATTGGGCTATATTTGTCTCTGACAGAGAGTACTACTGACACACACACACACACAAAAAAGTGTGAGAGGAAAGGTGTGGTACGTCTCATTGTTTTATTTGTTCTGATCTTGGTTTTATTAGGAGAGAGAACAACGGAGGGAAAGGAGAGAATGAGAGTTTGTTTGGAGTAGAACAATTTGGTAATTATTTTGAACCTCTAGGGGTTCTTTCTAATCACAGATTTTTACAGAACTGGTTTCATATCAGTTGACCTAAACGTTGGGAACTCAAATATCAGAAGCTGCATTCAAACGCATTAATATTGACCCTAAAACATTCCCACTCCAACTAAGTTAAGTCACTGTACTGATAAGCGGTTATTACAAAGTGAATATGCATTTTATGTTGGCAACAATAAAATCAAACATTTGACTTTGCCTCTTGTGTTCAAACTTTAAGAGACAGTTCACCCAAAATGTTACATTTCTATTATATAAATGCTTCAATACCTCAAATATGTGAAAACAATATATGTTGGGATTTTTTCATTGCATTTGCAATTATAGTAAGTTATTAAGCAACCACAGACATGTGAAAAAATTTAATGTTGCTGAAAACTTCAAAACCCACAATGTACTTACTGTGGACTCAGGTACTCAGATTTGTTCAGGGACAATATGTTGAAACCCTGTACAGACCCAACCAGGCAGAGCATATATTAATCTTAAAATACAGCTGTGCGTAGTTAGCATTACCGTGAAAATTGACATTTTGTTACTGAATAACATCACCAAGATGTAAAACTAAAATAGATCCCAAAAATAAACCTTTAGAAACAAAACCCTCTTGGGTGCTGTAATGGTACTGTAATGTTGTCTAAACCCAGTAATATGTTACTGGGAAAGCTCTTCCTTACATGTTTGAGGAATGAGAGATTCCATTTGCTGATGCTTGATTATTGTCGTTTTCAGAGAGTGAACATCCAGTGGAAGGTTTATAATTAGAGGGCAAAACACAGGAAGTAGCCACTTTGGTACTTTAGTAATAGTTGGGACTTGAGTTGAGTTTTATTAAGCTTTGCCACTGTAACTGGGAAAGTTCTCTGATCAAGCATTTCTGTTCCAGGATTCTATCTCTGCATTTGTTTCCTTGTTTAACCGCCTTCGATGGTTGTTGGATTATTAGGAAAACATTTAGATCCACACTATTCTACAGAACAAAACTAAATCCAAGATTAAAACTATGCCATTTTGTTGGCCCTGAACATGCTGGGAAATTGGGTCCCAAATATTTTTGGATATGTCAACAATGGCTCCAGAAGGCCTTTTGGCCTGAGAGTACTTCTTCATGTGAATATTGGGTTACTTGGATGTTGCCAAAGAAGTTATGAATACACGGTACTCCAATCAGCATCTTATGTTAAGTAATTGAGGAAGATTTTTTTTGTCAGGCTATCAGATTCAGTCGTTTTTGACACTTTCCAAACGTATCACCCTGATCCCAATATACGTCAGTTTTCTCCCATCCTACCTTGTGTCCAGTTTGTCATATTCAATGGTTTCATTTAAAATAGTCAGTTTGGTAATGTATCATAACGTCCTATATCTATGTGCACTTATTGAATGATTGTGTACACTTTCAGGCCACCTACATTAATTTGCAATGAGGCTTTAGCATTTCGGTTTCACTTCATCTACCGGTCATTGTGTGTCAGCAACACCCTCCCATTTAAAACATGCATAGGTCAAATGACCAATAACGGCCAAACAGCTAGGTGCCAATGCCTCTGCGCTGCTATTGTTAACAGAGTATGCTACTCCTGTGTACTCCTGTGGCCACGGGTCCAGCTAGGTGCATCCGATTTGCACAGCTCATAACTACCGTAGTTATATTCTGGCCGACCTAGACCGAGACTAACCGCGAATCTGTGCGACGAAGCATCGCTGCGCTATTGGTTAAATGTATTGCCATTTCGACTCGGAGTATCTGATTTTCACCATTCAAAGCTTGCTATATTCTGGCTAATCTACCGGTTAAAACTAGTCTCTGTGATGGTATACGGTTCGTAGGCACCGTATATCTACGTTGCATAGCCGAAAAAACAAACCAGGATGTGGCTACTTTGCTGAACCTCTGTCTCACTAGATTTATGGGAGAAAACTGCCTTATGAAGAACTTGGAATGGGTAGTCTGTATCTACAAGTACCCGACTATATGTACTGGCACTTGTTCATCGGTGCATCCATAGGCTGGACACATGCTTTTGTAGTCTTGTGTAGTGGTGTACATTATCTGACAAGGCCTGGCCTTGGTGGCCTAGTGGTTAGGGGATATGGCTTGGGTCTGGAAGGTCCCTGGTTCTAATGCCCCCAAGGTGAAAAACTTGTCGTTCTGTCCTTGAGCAAGACAGTTAACCTTAAAATGCTACCCGGGCGCCGTTGATGTGGAAGTCAAATCAGGCTACTGATTAGAGCTGCCCCCTGCACCTCAGGGTTGGGTAAAATGCAGAGGACACATTTTAGTTGAAGGCATTCAGTTGTACAACTGACAAGATTGGTATATTCCTATTCCTTTTATTAAGTTTCTGTCTCTGTCTTTATAGACAATTATAGACATTCACCATATAAACTAATGACCTCCAATTAACTAGCTAGATAGGTCGGCCTGATGTGCTGCTGTTTTGAAGGTGAATGTCAGTATTGCCTATTTACACTGATGAGCAACTCCATAAAATGCTGTTAGTCCTCCACATGCTGCTAAAACAGCGCTGACCCCCATCGCCATGGACTATACCAGACCCCTGAAGATATCCTGTGGTATCTGGCACCAAGACATCAGCAGCAGGCCGATTAGTTGCGAGGCGGGGTCGTTGTACATCGGGCAAGCTGGTCCAGCACATCCCACAGATGCTCATTCAGATTGCGATCTGGAGAATTTGGACTCTAGGGAAAGACCTTAAAAGGCTTTGACCTGTAAAATACGTTTGCAGATGGAACAGGCTCACGGGCCCTCTGACCGGTCTCCAACTATGCAGCCCTTTATGCACCACTGTCAGTGACACGATGATACACTGTGATACGTTAACCCGTCTGTTGGTTCGGACCGGACGGGATAGCTTCCGTTGTCCTTGCATGTCATTGAGCCATGTGACCCAACACCCTGTTGCCCTGTCGGTTTGTGTTTTGTCACTCCTCTGACCACTGTCAGAACGTACTCACCACTGCTGACCGGCAGCACCCCATAGGCCTGGCCGTTTCAGAGACCCCAGTCACCTGGCTTTAACAATTAGGCCTTTGTCAGAGTCACTCAGATCTTTACATTGTCCATTTGTTTTGCATCCAACATGTTCACTATGAGATCTGATTGCTTGCTTACCATCTAATCTACCCAGACTTTTACATGTGCCCACGTAAGCAGATGTTCAATGCCATTTGCTTCTCCTTGGAGTCTGAAATGTTTTGGATCTTCTCTGAGCGTGTGTGTGTGTGTGTGTGTGTGTGTATACATTATATGTATGTATATATATATATATATATATGTATGTATGTGTATGTATGTGTATGTATGTGTATGTATGTGTATGTATGTGTATGTATGGTATGTATGTATGTATGTATGTACACAGTACCATTTAGAAGGCAGGACGTACTTAATTATTCAATTAAATGGTTTAAAGGATTAATGTTATAAGTGTGTCCAACTTCACTGATACTTCTTCGAACATTTGTCACAATGATATTCGATATCATATCATAGTGAATTGGCCCGCTTCTCTCTTAGCCTCCTAGTCTATCTGCCTCTTTGAGCTGCTCATGCAGGTAATAAGTGATAGAAAAGGCTTACTACTACACACTAAGCCAACAGCATGCACAGACCAAAATATCCCAGGAATGCGGGTCTGGAACACTGTAAAACACAAACACACACTGTGGATACCCACCGCTACTCAACTGAAGGATGTTTCACAAGACAGGACATGTCAAGGATATATGTTCCTGCTATATTTCTGTGGTCCGTTCGACTGCGTCCATTACTGTGTGATCCAGCTTTATGTGTACATGTGGGGACCAGATGCCACGAAGATGGTGTAAACTGTATAACCAGTCCTTATGTTTTCTGGGCCAGTCCCCACTCTGGATAGGTTTGGCACAAACATGTAAGTCATAGAGTTGTGGATATATTTATGTTTGGGCATTACGGTCAATGTTAGATATTAGAGCTAGGCATCACATAGAGGTCAAGGGCTACGGGACGTAGAATATTTCTGAGTTTTCTGGTCCCCACAGCAAATAGAAAAACAAACATACGCGTGTGTGTTTGTGTTTGTGCGTGCGTATGATAGAGACCCAAGGGGTGTGCTCTTTAGCTGGCCAGTTATAGCTGTTGTTATTTTATTAATGGTCGCAGAGAAATCGACCCACACATCCACATGTGGAGTGCGCTCTTGGTGGTCGGCGTGCTAGTGAGTCTGTTTGCGAGGTTTCCAGGGAGACGTCATGGCGATATAATGAAACCAAGGCCTCTGGGAGAGGTGTGTGTGCGAGGGCGCCTCAGGGAGAGGATATAAAAGTCCTAACGACCCAGAAGCTCTCTTCCCCAGGAAGCGCCACTCCCCGCGTGCCAATCAGGGATGAGCTCCTGGAGAATAACCAAATCCAACAGGTCTATTAGTCTTAACCTTTAATGACTGCTACTTTAGGGAAATGTCTGGAGAGAAGTGACGAGAAAATACAGGAGAGTGAGGGAGAAGGAGGGGAGGAAAGGAGAGGGACAGATGGATTGAGGAAGTGAGAAGGCAAGGAAAGGGAGGGAGGGAGTGAGGGAGGGAGTGAGAAGGAAAGGAAAGGGAGGGAGGGAGGGATGGAGGGAGTGAGAAGGAAAGGAAAGGAAAGGGAGGGAGGGAGTGAGAAGGAAAGGAAAGGGAGGGAGGGAGGGAGAAGGAAAGGAAAGGAAAGGAAAGGAAAGGAAAGGGAGGGAGGGATGGATGGAGGGAGTGAGAAGGAAAGGAAAGGAAAGGGAGGGAGGGAGGGAGTGAGAAGGAAAGGAAAGGGAGGGAGGGAGTGAGAAGGAAAGGAAAGGGAGGGAGGGAGTGAGAAGGAAAGGGAGGGAGGGAGGGAGTGAGAAGGAAAGGGAGGGATGAGGGAGTGAGAAGGAAAGGGATGGAGGGAGGGAGGGCGTGAGAAGGAAGGAAAGGAAAGGAAGGGGGGGGGGAGAAGGAAGGAAAGGGAGGGAGGGAGGGAGGGAGGGAAAGGAAAGGAAAGGAAAGGGAGGGAGGGAGTACTCTTGTTCAGCTTCACAGCACAAATATTTACAGTGTGACTGCACGTCTGTTTATGGTTCCCTTTACAAGCATTTTACCCTCCAATGCAGCATCTCTCTTACCGCTCTTATGCTCTCCTATCTGTCTCTCTTTCCTTCTCTTCCTCTACATCCCAGTCTTCTCATTCCGCTTCCGAAGGTTTCATTTCCAGCCATCTGGGTGATTTTTCAGTCCCTTTTAAGTTTGCTAGCTGTCAGGGTGACTTTAAACAGTCATGGAAGCTGCCGGAAACCTCTTTAAGCTTTTCGCCGCTCTGCTCTCCCATGCTGTTTATGTTTGAGAGAGATGGATGAGAAACGTGACTATGAGGAGAAACGAGCTGCACTTAATAAGACTGAACAGGTTTACAGGGAAGAAAATGTGACAAAAGCTTCCGTTGGACTTTTACTCTGCTTCATTTTCTTGTCCCATTGCTGATGTTGCTGTCTCTTCCGCTTCCTCTCACTGTATTTCTCTCTCTGTCTGTTTAAAAAAACCTCATCTCACCTTGCATGTAAAAATGTATCAATATCCAAACCAGTTTTAAGTAATAGAGGCTTATCATGATATATTAACACACTGTTTTTGACTTTGTTTATCTCTTTTTATCCAGGAGGTGGAAATTCTGGATATCAGCCAGATCAGGGACACCAGAACAGGGAAGTTTGCCAAACTACCAAAGGTGTGTGTGTGTGTGTGTGTGTGTGTGTGTGTGTGTATGCGTGCGTGCTTTCAGTTCCTGATCATTTAGAGACAATGCACACTATGACAACTGACCACATGAACAACTGACCACATGAACAACTGCCCATGAGAGAGAGGACACACATGGACAGGGTGCCTTTAAATCACTCATGTTTTAGTTGTTAGCTCCACCCTCAGCGCTATTCTGTGTTATGTCTAGATTGTTCCACAGGCCCATTTGCTTGTAAATCTCATGTTGTTTCTTGTTCTGCTGGACAGGTTCAAATCCCAGCCAAATCTAATTGGATTGAATGTTTGTTTTTGTATTAGTGTTTGGGTTTACAGTATTTTGAATAGTATCTTTCGGTGGTATTGTGAAGTTGTACGGTGAAACGTGTGTGCAACTTCTAACCTCCGCTCTGAACTAGGTGACTGTACAGAGGCTGGTGGCCTAGTTTCTTACTTATGGGTTTTTTTTCTTAGTCGGCTAGTAATTCAGCAGAAGGTGTACACACACAAACCCACATTAGACCTCTTACTCAAGGAGTAAGAGATAAATCAGACGTGATCATCAGAGGGGAGCTTACACCACAAACTGTCAGGGCCCGTTGTGTGCGCACACTTCCTCGTTGGAGCGTCTGAAGGTGACCAAGCGAATCGTCTCCCTGACAGATACACTCACACACACCGGAACAAGAAGATATCGCAACTTACCCATTGCAGGGTTTTTTCTTTTCATGTGTGTGTTTTTTTTAAGCAACTGGATGATAAAAAATGTGTGTAGTCTGCGTCCTATTGAATCAAACAAACAAGATGATGAACACTACAAAGCGAAGTGGAAACAGTTTGGCGCTCAACAACAAAATACTTAGTCATCCTTCCCCTGTGTTAGAAGTTACAATGGAGGGCTTCCTCGCTATCAGTTGTCTGAAGCCAAAGGTTTCTGGAATATACTTATTAACAATACATTAACATCTCTAGGCGGCTGTACCACATAAACACTGCAGCAGTAGAATTGGGGTGACCGTCTCCCCCCATGTGTTCCAATTCGCTCTTTCCTTTGGACCGTACTTCATCCCCGTGCATGGAAGTATAGGTCTTGTCCCGTGATGTATTGTGTGTGTGTGTTTAGCATGTTATCTGCTCTCCTTTAGGAGGCGCGTGTCCGAGATGTGCTGGGGTTCTCTAAACCGGGAGAGACAGGCTTGAACGTGGAGGCAAAGCTGGTTACGGTCGTCCACGGCAACGACCTGGTCAACGTCTCCTTTCTCAACCTTCAGGCCATGGATGAGGAAACCGCCAAGGTTAAAATGGCGACCTGTCATCCATCCTGACTCTACTCGATTTGTCCTCCTTTTCCTCACCTCCACTGTACAACTTCAACTTGTCGATTC